TGATGTCGATAATGACATTTAAATCACTAAATACTAATCCCACATCAGAGTTATAGTTTTTTTTTTAATTTTCTGTGTTTACTTTGTAATTATACTGATATGTTCAATATTAGATCAACATCAGCAATATTTTTATCAAAGATTCAAAATGTGCAGAAGGTTCATTGTTAAGTATTCTGAAACTGAAATTCAGTAAAAGCATCATCAGTTGCAAACAATCAGCTCATTTCTGGGAGAAAGGAATGGTAAATGGACTGATTCTTATATAACGTTTTTCTACTCTCCTGGAGTACTCAAAGCGCAACATTCACTCATACACACAAGCACTGTTGTCTATGCTTTGTCAGTGCTTCCTAACTAACATACATTCATACGCATTCATGCATCAGAGAGCAAGTGGGGGTTAGTATTTGGCATGCAGACTGGGGGAGCCAGGAATCTAACCACCAACCTTGCAATCAGTAGATGACCTGCTGTACCTCCTGAGCTACAGTCACTCCAATCCAGCAGCTGGATCAATACAGAAAGGGATTGATCTCATGTGTATTTGTTTACATAGTTTTTTGGTAAAATCATATTTGTCATTTCAATCTCACAAGCAACTCATTTAATGCCTGGCAAGCTTTGAAAAAAGAAATAATAAGGATAATAATAAGGAATTAATGAGGACTGCTAGACAGCCAGATGATGCAGCTAACTTGGTGTCACTTGAATGAATTCTTTTGAGAGATCCTCTGTTCTGCTGACTTAGAGATGCATAAAAGACTGACATATATTTGATGCCCTTGCTACAGCATTTGAAGATATCTTCTTTTTCTTTCAACTGCTCTCTTTAGGAGTCGCCACAGTGGATAATCTGCCTCCATCTCACCCTATCCCCAGCATCTTTTTCTGTCACACCAACCCTCCACATGTTTTCCTTCACTACATCAATGAAACTTCTCTGTGGTTTTCCTCTTTAACTCCCTTTCTGGCAGCTCCATCCTTAAAATCCTTTGTCCAGTATATCCACCATCTCTTCTCTGCGCATGTTTAAACCATCTAGGCCTTGCCTGTCTATCTTAATCAGTCCATTGTCCCTCAGATGTACACATTTCTAATTCTGTCCAATTTAGTCATTCAGAATGAAAACCTTAACATCTTCAGCTTGGCTTCCTGTCTTTTTGTCAGTGCCAACATCTCCTAATAAAAGCAAGCCTCACGACGATCTTGTAAACCTTCCTTTTACACTCTTGCTGATATCCTTCTTTTTTAACAAATCACTCCGCCTTACTCCACCCCGCCTGCACAATCTCCACCCTGTGTATTTAAACTAACCTACCATTATTACCTCTGTTTCTTACAGTTTCACTGTTACGCCTGTCTCCCTCTCACTCTCACACTTGCTTCTACTGACTTTCATTCCTCTTCTTTCCAGTGCATTTGATGCCTTTGTTACCTGTTGAAGATGCTGCTGGATGTTAAGCATTCACTCAGCCTTAACATCACTCTGGCTTCTTTAACTGGCTTGGTTTTAGCATGCTGTCTGTGCAGATACTTGCACATAGCCAGTGCTGGATTAGCAGTATAATGTATTTGTTTTACCCTGGTCACAAATTCCCCTCTTGTCCTTATGTGCAACAAAAATAAAAGTAATCTTCATATCACCACTCCACAAAAAATGTAAATGTTTTGCCATTTTCCTCCTCCCTGCACACGAACCAAAATCACCTGATTGTTGTGCAAGTGTCCAGAAAGAAAGGAGGGTATTTAATTGTTTTCTCTTTCAATGTGTCATTTATGCAAATAAATAATACATTATATTGCTGCATAACCCAAAAACTTAATATGATTACAGAAATCGGTTGCTGTGTAGCAGATTTCCCTCAATGTTCCAAAGGACTTCCACAGGGGAGAAGAATGACGAAAACATGGACAAAATGAACCCTCAAACATTGATGATGCTTCAGAAGATAAAAGTAACGCAGCAACGGAAATTACATAAGTATTGTATTTTAGATGACGGCATGGTCCTTGATCCTATCATTTCCAACAGCATTAAAAGTGCACCTGCCTACCCCATTAACCTTTGAGTATACTCTTGTTGCATCAGCATGCTAACATACTCACAATGACAAGCTGTACATTAGAAAGCTCTTATTTATTAACTGTGAAGATATTATTACTTTTACAGATGTTTGGACAAATATACATTTTCCCCCTGATGATGGGACAGAAAGTTAGATTATTGTTAAAATGTAAATTCCATAGTAATCAACAGTATTTTTTAAAGATTTTAAAGGTCTGCAAACTTGAAGGACTTATCTTTCTATGTAGACTAAAACAGATGAGAGCATGTAAATGGGCACTCTGGACAAAATATCATAGTGATCTGCGCCGGGACCAGTATCCTTTACATCATACATGCTTCCATAGGGCAATATTATTAGAAAACACTGCATATATTTTCCTTGCTATGCAGACGATATTCAGCTATATCTGAATGAAGCCGGGGCATCGTAGAGAAATTTGACATCTTACCCAGTGATATCTGACATGCAGACTGGAGCAGCCAGGGATTATTAGATGACCTGCTCTAAGGCCTGAGCCACAACCAACTTTGCTTATGTTTTTCCCATATTAATATTTCTTCATTGGCTCCCTGTAAAAGCCAGAATTGAATTTCAAATGCTTTTCCTCAGATGCAGAATCTGAACTAATCTGGCCCTATCAGACCTCATACCACATTATGACACTACAGCACTTCACTCTCAGATTGCTGGCGTACTTGTGATTTCTAGAGTTTCTGAAAGTAAAATGGGAGGCAGAACCTTCAGCTATCACGCCCATCTCCTGTACAATGCTAATCAATAAAATCAAAATCAAATCAAATCAAGCAACCAGCTCCCAATTTGGATTTAGAAGACAGACACTTTCCTATGTGATGAAACCTATACTTGGGTGGATCAGGTGACCCTATTATAGGTTCAGACTGCTGCAGGACTTCAGGCGATACACTGTGATGCACAGAGCACTTCTTTGCAACCAACAAATTAAACTGTCAATACAAATAAGTGTTAACAGGCATTAGATTGAATCAAACTATCACTTTCAAATTTGTAGCTAATGGCGTCACATTTCAAACTGGTACAGCTCATGTAACATCTGTTTGAGCCCTTTACCACTAGGAGTGATCTGCATTTCTCTTTGGGTTCTATCTCTGCATGATAACACATGTCATCTGCACAGTTGCTATTATGCAAATGGAGCACAAACACACATTTTATCAAAAGACATTTGTCTCAGTAATGAGCAGCAGATGACAACTTTGCACCGATGTGTTGTGCCACTTCACTATTAATTAAGATCAAATTAGTTTGGAAATGTTAAAGTTCATCACTCTCACAGAAGGGAACTTTTAAGTTGTTGTTGTATTAGGGTAGTATCTGATGAAATGTCTGCTATGGAGACATTAAAGTGCACGGGGAGATGGAAGTTCATTCATTTTAAAAAATAAATGAATAATAATAATGAGTGAGTCACATTGGAAGAATGAGCAGGTGAGGCCTCACCAGGAGGAAGTAAAGGTGACAAGAGTGAGAAAAAGGTCATTATGGAGATAAAGTAGTGCACCAACACAATTTTCCAGTGTTACTGGCATTTTCAGCCTTTTAAAAAAAGTTCAATTTAACACAGCTGAACTACTACAAATAAACAGACTATAGTTTTAATGGGTATGTTACTATAATGTACTTCTTCTTAATATATTATCACATGACAAACAGTAACATTTACATAAGTAAAAGTAGGAATATCATATTAAGTGGTGGTGTAAAAACTAAAGATGTTCTTGCATTCTAATGCAGTAGAATGAGCAAGGAGCACAAAATGTACCTGAAAGCTGTCCAGACAATACAAGTAAATTAATTTGTCACTATTTTAAATGTATTGTGTTTTTTATCCTATATTATAATTTGATTTTAATCACAGAGGCGTATTCTATATTGTTTTGTCTGTTTTGTCACTTTAAATGCGTACAGTCCTTTCTGTTGCTATTTCTATTCCATTAGACATATGAACTTTTACCACCTATTACTGTGATCGTTGTCAGAAAGAAAGCATCTACAGAAGCTTAAATGGATGGTTGATAAGGTTAAAAGTAAAATTGGGTTAATCAGCTGATCTTTTCAAAACCATGGGCTCTCCTCAGAGGTTAAACTGTATAGTTGCTGTGGTGGTCGCTGGTACATTTTCTGTCACTGGTTTGTCAAAACAGGTCATTTAAAGAAAGGAAACCAGTCAAAGCTGTGACTCTAATCTGTTATAAAAGAAATGCAGGTTTAAAAAAAATAGAAAATTTAAATGTCTTATGTAAACATAATTTTCAGTTAATTCAAGTGGTTTACTTGCTCATTGCTCATTGATGAAAGCTCCAAATGTTTTCACCGGTATGGTTCTTTTTATATGTTTGGTCTTTATGATATGCATCCTGCATGCCGTGCTTGGATAGATTTCACTCAAAAATATGCTTATGTTCAAAAATGCTCACTACCTTTCCACGTAATTTTGTTACGTAAGTACGATGTAAAATATTCAATTTAATGGAATCTGGTCAAATGAAAAATACTTGATTGGTACATATTCAGTTTATACCAAGCATATTTTCTTTCTTTCTTTCTTTCTTTTTTTGTGTGTGTGTGTGTTCCGTGTTGAAAGCAAATTGCCTCTCACAAGGACGCAAATATCACAGCACAAAGAAGAAGACATCCAACCAAACTGCAAATAGCGGAAGCTTTATTAACCTGCACTGTGTTCCTCTGTGAGCGTAAAAACGCGTTTTGTTGTACCTTTCACTCCCCAGCCCATCTCAAAACTCCTTTTTTTAGTTCAGCCTACATTCTAGTCTATTAAAATCCTCTCCCAGTGCGCCAACGTTTCTTGCTTATCTCTTGAAATGTTTGCGTGTTTGCAGAAACAGAAAGCAGCATCACACACTCACACACACGCGCGCGCGAACCCACCGCTGTGGTCGGTTTGGTTTTGCGCCTCGCTCCTCCTCGTCTGGCTACATATCTCACGAGCCCTCAGGTGCTGGGAGATGATGGCGCAGTCCGGATGAATTGCTTCGGCCTGAAAATAAGATCCAACTAAGTTATCTGCAGGAAAGCAGACACATGTGCACAAGCTGACTTTCTTTCGCTCGGAGCCTGATGGAGTTATGGTGCCAAACGGTGCAGCATTTGGGGGGGGGGGAGCGACTTGGAAGTGAAATGCAGTTTATTAAACAAACATCAACAACAGACGTAGTTTTAGAGCAGATAACGAGCCTGCACTCTAGAAAAGAAAAACGACATTTACGCGTGACTTCCCTGATGTTTACAAGTTAATTCAAGTTGACATTTTGAGCCAGAATTTGAATCATACTAAAGAACAGGTCCCGTTTTTGCGAATTCATTCCCCGATCTGTATGACAACATCTCTGTATCCCCCCCGGCCACACACACACACACACACACACACACACACACACACACACACACACACGTTTTCCCTGCTGATTTGCTCTTTGATTGATAAAGACGCAGGTTGATGGATGCCGGTCGCTAATTAGCGCCTCCAGCTTAATGAGGACATTTGCCGTTCAGGTCTGATGCACGCCCCGGAGAGAGAGCGAGAAAGAAGGCAGAGGACAATGTGAGAAGGGGTATTAAAGTAAAGATGTCATTAGGGCGTAATTGAGAAGATCGTTTTCTAATTAAAAGCGTTTTTGCGTGTTAAAAGCTCACACCAAAGGGACTTTGTTTCACTTTGAGCAGCTTTTAATCACTTCATGGATAACGGCACCTTGGCAGACAGGAAGATTCTGCGAGTGCGCATAAATAAAAGAAGCAAAATGCCACTCACCACGGGGCTGAACAACATCTGGAGATAAAAGATGAGGACAACAAATTTCCCCTGTCGTCCTTTCAAACCCTTACAGTTCATTTCCATGTTCTTATCTGTCTTCTTCATATCCCTCACCGGATGCCGATGAGACCGCAAATCCAGGTTTACTTGTTCTTTTTTTTTCCGCCTCTTCAAGCCTGACTTCTTTATAGCCTCGGTGCGAGCATGTACTCTGTCAACCTATTTCTCCCTGCCAGCTGGAAACTTGAGGGAAAGGAAAGCTTCTCTCTCTCTATCTCTATCTCTCTCTCTCTCTCTTGCTGTGTGCAGATGAATGAATATCGCCATTCAGAGACATGGGAGTGGGGGTACGAGATATTAAAAATAAATAAATTTTAAAAAAGAAGAAGAAGACAAAGAAACAGCCAATGGCCTATTTTCAAGTCATATTTTTATATTTTGTAAATATTTATGACTAAGATGCTAACAGTCAGCCTAAAAGTGTAAAAAAAAAAGCTTGTATTTGTACACAGGCTAATAGGCAAACCATTTAATTATTAACAGAAGACATCATGACCTACAAAACAACGTGTAGGGGGTGGAGTGCAAGTGTCAAGCATTTAGAAATGTACTAGTCACATATTTTAATAACAATTGTAATGCTCACACAAAAATGATGATGCATTTTAATCAAAATAAACAGTACGTAACCGTACGTATTCTTATCACAGGTGCCATGTCATTTCAGCTTTTTTTTTTTTTTCTCAAGATGGTTAGCAATAAATATTGTTAAATTGCTTTCATGGTAAGGGTTGGGTTTAGCATTGTTCATAAGAAAGAACACAACGATGCTGCACTTATGTTTTTACAGTTGAGTGGTACACAAATGGGGGTTTTGGCACTCTGATTTGGAGCTATATAAAACTGCAGAGCCAGTTTATTTATTGTTAATCCAGTCCGTGATTTACGCAGAGGGTGTTCACGTAAAGCTCCTTCATGTAATAAAGCTGGAATTTGACAAATATGTTACTGACTACATGAGAATTAAAAATAAAATGAATTAGTCTCCTTTTGTTTTTCTTGGAGAAAACACTGATGCTCTGCTTGTGTCCGCTGACTGGTTGGTTAACGACTTAAAACTGGAGATGCTCGCTCATAGCTTTTAAAATGATAAGTACAACAGACTTTAGAAGCACATTGGAAGCAAAGCATAAAAAATTGTACATGAATCTGAAAGGAGCTGGTTGGGGTGGTCCCTGATGAGTGCTGTCAGGTGGCTGCTGGCAGAAATTCTCTGCTGCTGCTCTTTGATGTGTGAAATCTAAATGGCAAATGCAGTAAAGTGGTCTTTGGAGCTGTGGCATTCCCCATCCTTACAGAGAGGTACTTTGCAATAAGCAAAATGTCAAAAACAAAAGTAAAAATAAAAACCAGAACTTTGCCTGTATTCTATCAAATACAATAAAACATTTTTTTTTAATCTCATCAGTGTTACATTTTTAGGTTACAGCTCTATAGGGTTCAACTGATTCTGGACTTGTGAGCACCCGCTACGAGACCAGAGAGTCATAGTTCCCATATTTAGAAAGTCTCTGGTATCAGAGCTTATGGAAGCTGTGAAAATGGTGATAACTGTGCAGTTACCTGAGGCTGGAGAGCTGAATATCTTTTTAAACAATGAGCAGTTTGATTTGAGTATATCTGAAATTACTAGAGGTGTGCCAGCAGTTGTTAAATATGAGTAATTAACAGTTAGCCTGATGTGAGAGACAACCATCAGCTTGTTAAGCTGTTTCAACTTGATTGATTGATTGATTGATTGATTGAATCTTTATTTTGAACATGTTGAAACTTGCTTCTTTGATCTGGCGCCACAGTCGCTGTTGATCATGGTCCCAGCAGGCCAGCATCCTTTCACTTCCTGTCTCTCTCATCTCCTGCTATCTCGTTTGCTGCCATGTGGAGTAGAGTCAGGCCTTGGTGTCCTGCCCTCAATCCAGCCACCATACCTGTCTATCGTCCATCCAGCCATTTCCCTCTATTTGTCCAATTCAGGGTCACAGGCGAGCTGGAGCCTGTCCCACTTAGGGCAAGAGGCAGGGTACACCCTGGACAGGTGGCCAGATCCTTCACTCTTCACCTGGTTGTTGTCACCTTTGCAGCAGTAACTTGGATTTCAACTCACGAGTAGTTCTTGAGTGTACCTTCTGTTTCCTGACCTTGTTCTCGCACCAAGCTTGGACTCAAGTCACTTGCGAGACTTTCATGTTGTTCATCTGCAGAGGAAGGATTTTTCTGCAAATCCAAGCTGCTTTTATCTCCTTCAAACTCACCTGCCTGCCCACTCTCCTCTGGCACGGCCTTCTGGAAGCCAACTGCCAATCACAAAGAAAACAAAATTCAAGTCGTTTGTTAACAATTTTAGCGAAATAATCTTCTGCAACCGTATTTACCTGCTCTCCTCTCTGGAAGTTTCCCGTGCCCCCAAAATGACTCACATGATCTTTGCCCAAAAATCCTGTTATAATAAAAGTTATTAAAAAATTTGTTTTTCATTACAACTCTGTCATCACTTTCCAAAGTAGAGGAGACTGAAAATTTTCATGACTAATCATTGGAGTTAAAGATAAGCAAAAAAAAAAAAAAATCCAAGTTGACACACACACTGGTTTGAATACAGACTTTTTGGATGAAGAAACCGGCTGGGGCAGCAGTAGTGTTAGCTTTCACCTGACAATTTGCTAAGGTAGTTTGTGTTAATGTTTTCACTTGTGTTGCTTGCTGTGTTTTGAAATGACCACATAGTAAATCTGGGGTTAAGTGGGAAGATAGATCTGGCCTCGGAGCTGCTCTGAGCAGGAATTTGTGGTGTTCTTTGTTGGGGAAAAAGAAGCACAGTAAAAGTGTAATAAAGATGTTCCTTCAGAAAATAATGCTCATCTCCCTCTCACACCAACAGGTCAACACTATCACCCTAAGTGGTAAACCACCGTAAGTTTCATTCTGTAGTTGCTTTTGTTGAGACAACGCCGGTCTCTGCCATTCTTTTGGTCCTGGTAGAGATCACGCTGAGATGTTTCCATGTTTTACACAATCCTTTTATTACCCATTATTCTTACAGATGCATCTGGAGATCAGCACACTGCATCCTATGCAGTCCTATGCTAAAGGATGATCTAAAGAACTCCACACAACAGTTACAGTTATAACCTCTGGTCTCCTCCTCCCCTGCAGTAAACACCCCCACAATGGAAATACACTAGTACAGTGGCCAAGGGTGCTGACATCCTGACCCCCACCTCCTTTTAAGGTAGTGTCCATTTGCCCTTTGTCTGCCCCTCACCCTCAGTAACTCTGGCTTCCTGGCCTGGGGGTGGGGGTTGATTGTCCTCCAGGCCTTCTTACACCCATTAACGGCCATATTGTAATATTACAGTCAATCCCAAACTATATTCTCTTTAACTCTGATGTATATTAAGCAATCTATTCTCAACACTTTCTTCCTGTTTAAAGCGAGACATATTTTTTATCAATTTAAACTGCATCAAAACAAGCTTTGAACAAAAGCAAGTTAATACGCAGAGTACTGAGAGTCTCATTATCATCTATGATTTGATTCTTTTAATAAGAGTATATAAATGAATGCAAGGTTAGTGCTGATGCATTACATGATTGTGTTCTGTTTAGAAAGAGTGACATATATGATTTGGCAGAATATGAATGTATCAATTTACTGTAAAGAACTGCAAAATGTGGCTGCAATGAAAGAACAGCTGTTAAAGTACCCAGAATGATTTCAAGAAATTCACTGACTGGACTCAAGTGTTACCGTATTTATGCCTTTAAACAATGCAGTCTATACTGGAACGCTCAAGGTGGTTTTCAAATGGGGTCACCCTATACAGTTTTCAGATGTGAATGTGGAGCAGTGCAGTGCTAAAAAAGCCAAAGCCTCCCCTAAAGAGTAGCTTTCCAAGAACAGGAATATAGGTTTCAGCCTTGAAGTGCTTTTCAGAGCGACCGAGTGATTAATCTATCGAACATTTTACTGCAACCAGAGCTCCTATCAAACAACAGAGGGACGTCGTGAAGGTTTTCATCTTTCTCCAGGTGTGAAACTGAAAAACAAATCTCCCTGCAAAAACGTCACACGTTATCAGAGCGTCACCTCGGCACGGGTTTCCCATAATGGTGATCCTATAACACGTTACCTGTTCACACATTGGGGACAAAAGGTTTTTGTGCTGCCTGGTGGGTAATTACTTGTTTTTCAAACAATGCATTTCAACAAGGCTGGACATCGCCTGTTTGATCACTGGTTTCAATTCTGCGGAGGCCAATCTTTATGTTGCAAGGATGCCGTAAAGCAGCTGAGTGTCTGATAACCAGAGGAGTCAGTCCCCTTTTTTCATGCAGGTGTGTGTGGGGGATTTGTTTATCTTAAACCCATATGCAGCAGTCTCCCACTTTAGGATCCAAACAAAAGGACATTTTATTTTGAAAATTTAAAGACTAACATTCACTAATTCAAGAAATTCAAGTGTGTTTGGACCTTAAAATAGCATTTAAATCTATTTTTCTACTGCCGCCATCCAGGTCACATCCTCCTCAGACCAAAACAATCAATCTTATCTTTATTTGTTTAAATATGTGAACAAATGGCAAATATGAGATTTATTTATTTGATTTTGCAAAGAGCTGGCTCCAAATTAACTTCATAAGTGAACACAGATCTGCTTTATTGTGCAAAACTCCTGCTTTATATTGCACAGGTCCCTCTTTTGCTGCCAAAATACTTCATGGTAGGAAATCCATAAGAAGTATACAGCTGTCCTTGATTCAGGGTGTAAGATGTTAGCACTGAGTTTACTCTGGGCTCTGCTTTCAGGTTTTAAAAATGCAGCTTCTAAAAGGAGACATTAACCTTTTTTAGGCCAGAACTAGTGAGCTGTGAGGTGAGATGATAAATTAGTTAAACACAACAGTTTGAATCCTGCGTGAAGCTAAGCAGCATTAGTGAAATCTGTGCTTGTCTGCTGGTGTGGTTTAGAACAGAGGGGAGAGTTGCAGGAGGACTGACTTTCAATTAACATTCACATATAGTTTTTCTCCCTCCTGCAGCTTTAAGTCCTGTAAGTAGCAAAATTGGGCCTCGAAGAACAAAACTTGTGTCACATCTGACAGAAGATTAATCATTACTGTGATCTGGGGAATTTGGAGGCTAAGTCCTTGAACTCTCTGTCA